AAAGGGATTCCATTGGTCCATAGCTCATCTGCGGTGGTTAGCACCCTAATTCTACCAAAAATATCAAACTTGGTCTTTTTACCCCCAAACGTACCCAAATTACCTAAACACCCCCAAATCCCAAATTTGGTCAAAATCCTCAAATTCACCCAAAATATCCAAACTTGTTCAAAAATCATTTCAAACCATTTCAAAATACCCAAATTACCCAAAACTACCCAAAAATGCCAAATTTACCAAAATACCCCCATATTTTTACCCCAAAATTTTCCAAAATTACAAAAATGCCCTTGGCACCCCAAACTTTCCCAAAACCTTCAAAATCACTCCAAATGTCTCTAAAACCAAATTGGACCCTTAAATTGAACCCAATTTGGCCAATTTCATCATTTTGACCAAAACGACCAAATTGTCTTTAAAGACCCAATTTCCCCAAATTCACCTCAAATATCCATCAACATGGGCCTAATTTTCTTCAATATCAATCCTAAACTCAAATTCACCTTCCATATGACCAATTTAAACCAAATCTAAGCTCAATTGGCCCATGCTTTGAGTTCAATTTTGATCTTAGTTAAACCCCCAAATTTGGCTACAAGACTTAATCTCACCAAATTGAACCCCATGACCTACTCCATTGGCCTCAATTTGAATCATAAACTCTTCATAACAATACTACACATCAAACTTCACCTTCAATTGGCCTTGGTAAAGCCTCAATTTTATTTAATTCTGATCCAAGCCCAAAAACCCCAATTTTGCCCCAAATTGGCTGTCTCCAAATTTCACCAAATTCATTACCTTGGCCCCAAAATTGGCACACAATTTATGTTGAAAACTCTTCAAGACATTCTTATTGACCATTTTCAACAATAAATTTGGACTTAGGCCAAGACTTGCCAATCTAGACCCAAGTCTAGCCCAACATGCCCAAAGTGACCAAAATTCCAAAATCCTTCAAATTGAACCCCCAATTGAACTCAAAATCATTTCAATCCTTCACAAAAAATCTTCATTTCAATCATCTACACAATGTTTATCAATCAATTGTGCTCAAAGTCATGACTAGCCTAACCCAAACCCAACTTTTGGCCATTTAGACCCACATTGAACCCATGCACCAACTCCCCACACCACCCTAAACCCACAAATTTTGGGACTCCCCAGCCACTAAGCTCTTCCTTTGGACCAGGCTAAACAACACTAAACCCACCCAAGAAAGCTATGGACCAATGGATCCCTAAATTAAGGGATTCATGCCCATTTATGGGCCTTAATCAAAAATCTCCCACACCAAAATTGACATAGTTGGGTAAATCATAATTAAGTCTTCCCCTGACTTACCTGACCTCCGGACCACCTCCCCTGACCCTGTCGGCCGGCCTAGTCCCCGGAAAACCCCAAAATCGAGAGCCACAAGGCCAAATCAAACCCAATCTCAACCATAGAGGTCAGCTCACCCTAATTAACCTTTGGAGCTCGTCAACCCTTCACCTAAGGAAACTTACAGCCAGACCTTGAGCTCCCCTCTCCGGTCATGGCTATGAAATGGCCCCTTCACGGCCAAGAGAGAGGTGCTGAAATTTTCTCAAGGAGACCCCTCTAAATTG